TGAGTTCCTGTCCTGAATTCCTTCAATGATTAATGGGTTTAAAGTATAAGAAATAAACCATTTCCTCCTCAACTTGCTTTTTGGTCTTGGTGTTTCATTACAGCAAATCTTAATTAAGGCACACTTAAAATTTATCTGCCTTTTTAATTAAAGTGTAATTGTATCATTTCCCTCCTCTTTCCACCCTCCAATCCTTTCCATTCACCCCCTTGCACTCTCTCAAATTCATGGCCTCTGTTCCTTTCATTATTCATATATATCTCAAATATAATAGTAATATAAACAAGGTATATTTATATATTTAGGAATATATATAGTAATATAAACAAGGTGTGCTTCCATATTTGGGAATATATTACTTTGATTGTGTGATTTCAGGCCTGAGTATCTGGTATTAGATAACCAATCTGGCTCTTCAACTGGGGAAGACTGTTTCTCCTACTCTCAGCATTCCTTAGTTGCCTGTAGTTCTTTGTTGACATTCAAGGCCCCATGAGATTTTCCTCTTCCATGTCTATTAATGTCATGTCTTTTTCAGTCTAGGCAGCCATTTTGATGAGACTTGATTCACATTTTTAGGTATAGATACTACTGCTAATAATAGCCATCAACATGAACTAAGGGCCCAAATACACCAATATTGATGTCAGATCAGTAATTTCCTGTCCTCAAGATTTCATAACATAAGTTACTGACACAGGCAGAGAACTGCCATCCTCTGGGCTAAGATCATGTGTGCATTCTTCAAGTGACTTCCAGACACCCCTGGTGGGTCGACACTGACAGGGAAGGACTTGGCCATCCACCTAGAGTTTCACAGCTAATGAGAACCATGAGGGGGCGTTGGTGGTGCATGCCTTTAATCCCAGCACTCAGGAGGCAGAGGCAGGCAGATCTCTGTGAGTTCAAGGCCAGCCTGGTGTCCAGAGTGAGTGCCAGGATAGGCGCCAAAGCTACACAGAAAAACCCTGTCTCGAAAAACAAACAAACAAACAAACAAACAAACAAACAAAAAAGGTATTATTTGGGGAAGGGCCTAGGCCTGGCCCAAGATGATGTAGTAGACTTTGGGGAGCCCCTTTTGAGGGCCTTACCCTGCCTGGGGAGTGGAGGGGGTGTGGCTAGGGGCAGGTGGGATGTTGGAGGGGAGGGGAGGAAGGGGGGAAGGGATTGACATGTGAAGCAAACTTGTTCCTAATTTGAACTAAAAAAAAAAAAAAAAAAAAAAAAAAAAAAGAACCACGAGGATTCCACACACACAGTATCCTGAGTCTTAGGAAAGGCCACATGTGTTCCTGACAGTCCTTTTTCTAATCCCTCACCCTGTTTTTGAGGAAGGAGAGCAGCAATCAGAAGGTGAGCAGATAGCATCTTTGGACCACAGTCACTGCTTGCACAGAGAACCGCAGACTTTACCAGCACCATTTACAGAAAATGTCCTTTCTCCACCCTATGTTCTTGGTACCTCTGTTGGCTATAAGTGTGTAGATTTGTTTCTGGAGTTGATGTTCTATTCCATTGGTCCTTGGGTCAGTTTCTGGGAGTAGTATGTTGTTTTGATTTCTATAACACCTTAGTGTGTTTTGAGGTTGAGTAGTGTGAAGGTATGCCCCCACCTCGTAATCTGAAGATGTTCAGGTTAAAATGTGTATCTCCCTCTGGTACATCTATGAACTGTCACATGTGTTCTTCTGCAAGGCCTGTCATATGGGGGTGGGGGACAGAAAGCAGAAGAACCTACTCTCTGCTTTGTCTCCCCATAACCTAGATGCAACATGGAGGGGCAAGGAGTTGGAGGACATTTACCCTCCACGCCTCTGGCTAAGCCAAACCTCTGGATTAGAAGACGACAGAAACAAATATCCTTCCAACACTCAAGATGTGTGCTGCTGCTCACTCCTTCCACCTCCCACACTCCAAGCCCCATGCCATACAGCCTCAGTTAAAACTCTGCTAAACCAAGGCTAGCTTCACACACGAGGTGTTCAATATCCAAGCCATTTCCTTTGATCCTCACATGTTCACTGTAGTAATGAATCTAAACACATGGCTCATTCTGGATCAATGGGTGAATCTCACCTAGACAAATGTACAAATCTAATGAAGATATTTAATTTCCATAGTATCTCTACTGTTGTTGTTGCTGTTGTTTTGTTTTGTGTTTTGTTTTTTTGGCTTTTGGGTTTTTTGTTTTGTTTTTTTGCTGCAAATTCATCAATTCATGGGAATGGGCTTACGATTCTATGATAAGGAACAAGGCTCACTTCTCTACCCCCAAGACACAGCAGTGAGTCTACCCCTCCCAGGGAAAACACAGGAGTCTCAGTTTTCCAAGACAGGGAAGGCTGCAGTGGGCAGGAGACATGTGTTGAATCTCACAGAGGCCATGGAGAAGTGACAAACAAAGATCTGGGGGTGAGGGTGCAAAAAGGTCCAAAGCTCACCCTTGTCCAACTGCTGTTGTGAAAATGTGTTCTTGGGCAGTGAATGAAACAAGGAATACTCAAAAACATGAACTCTTATGAAGTGTTTGGGCCCTGACATCCTCCCTGACCTCTGCCTCCCACATCCCAATTGTGTGGCCATTTGCAATGTGCATACAGTCTGTCTTTCACCGTTGTCAGGGTTACTGGTTTTCTGGCAATGGGCTTATTTTTCTGCTTAGTTCACATATTGCTACACTACCCTTGTGTAGCTATGAACAACATCTGACAAACACTTAGAGGAGGACACAGTTATTTTGGCTCACAGCTTCAGAAACATTCTGTCCACCAAGCAGAGAAACCATGGTGGCAGGAACGTGAGGTGACTGCTTGTTCACATGGCATAGATCAGGAAGGAGAGAGAACCAGACAGGAAGCACAGATAGGTATACACTGCTTCCACTAAACTGGTCCTTCCTCCTAAAGGCTGCACAACCTTCCAATAGGGCCACAGGCTAGGAACTGAACATTCATACGTGATCCCAGCCAGGTGCGGTGATGAACACCTTTAATCCCTGCAGAGGCAGATAGATCTCTATGAGTTAGAGGTCAGATTTGTCTACAAAGAATTGTAGGCCAATCAGGATTACAAACTGAGACCTGTCTCAATTTAAACAAACAAACAAGGAATCCAAGAAGGATATTTCAGATTCTGACTATAACAGTCCACCTACTGCACACCATCTCTTCCCAGAGGCTGCCCTTCTGGGAGATATCAATTTAAAATGTATTCCTTTTTTAACTTTTTACTGATTCTTTGTGCATTTCACATCATGTATCCCAATCCCACTTATCTCTCCACCCATTCGCTTCTGTGCTCTGCCCTTGCAACCTCTCCTGCAAAACAAAAAACAAAACAAAAACAAAACAAGCAAGCAAACAAAAATAAATAAATAAAATCTCAGCATGGAAGCTGTAGTGTGGCCCAGTGAGTCACATAGAATACCTTTAGTCCATATATCTTTATTTGTAAGTGTTCATTGCAATGAGGCACTGGTCTGGTTTGAGGCCTCTGGCTTCCTTTAGACCATTAGTACTGAGCCCTCACTAGGACTCCTCTTGGACATCCTATTGTTGCTTTGTGTCATGGAGATCCTGTAGCTTTGGATCTGCAATCTGCCCTTTCATATGCTCCAGCAGTTCATAGATGAGGTGGGTGTTGAGGTGGGTTACCTTATAGTCCTGTTTATGAGCCTGGGTGATGGCTGGGTTGGTCATCTGGCCAGCTACCACCACCCAGGCAAGCTCACCCAAAGTAGTACACAAAAGGAGTTTGGTAAGTTCTCCTGCTTTCACACCCTTGGCTCCAGCTCATCCACACTCACACCATCAGGACAAACTTTACTGTTTTGCCCAGGTGAGATGCAGGGCCCTCTCTCCAGATTGCTGCACTTGGTGAGGAGGAGAGCCAGCTCTTCCATTCTCATGCCCCCGAGATTGGTTCTCCCACCTGTCTCAGGTGGCAAGAGGGACCATATTTCCCTTACCCTAGAAACCCCATGTCATACAAGGGTGGGTACAGCTCTCCTGCTCTCACCCCAACAGCTTGCCCAGCTCTTCTGCACCCCTGCCATCAGCTCTAGTATGCTGCCCAGGTGAGGCGCTATGCCTGCTCTCCCATGTACTCAAGCTGGTGAAGGGCAGCGCCAGTTCTTACAGCAATACTCTAAAACTGGTGATCCCTTAACAGACCACAATCCCATGACAATGCTATCGCTTGACCCCTACCTTCTGCACTAGAGACAGGCACTCTGATGGGCAGCCAGGCCTTCGGTGTCTCCACCACATCCCTGGTAAGGAAAAGTGAACTGTTCTATTGTGAGAACATTTATTGTGTGAACTGAAGTTCACAGAAGGAAGGGAAGGCTGCACCTGTGTTAAAGTGGCTGATGTTCAAGGCCAGTTAGAATGTCGCTGACCAGAGCCAAATGGGATTGCATTATAGGCTTGTGAAATAATTGTTGCTTATGTTTACATCGCATGAAAGTACAAGATGTGTTTTTCTTGGAGTGTCCTTCCATGTGCTCTAGAAATGTTTCCTTGGTTTCCTTATCAGTGATTTTGAGAATTTCTTCTAAATGATTTCTATCTATTTATCTGGTTGTGTTTCACTCCATAGTTTTCTATTTTTAAAATGATAATGTTTTTATCAAAGTTTTTTTCAGCCTTTACCAAGAGAATTACATGGTTTCCTTTTCCCTCAGACTACCATTAAGGTAATAGTAATGTACTTCCTACTACTGAATCACCCTTAAGCTAGAAAGACTTAGAGAATTCTTATTTTTAATGTGGTGTGATGGGGGAAGTGCTTCTGTGTATGTGTTTGTCTTACTGGATGATAAATAAAGTACTGTTTGGCCAATGAGGCAGCAAGTTAGGCAGGACTAGGAGTCAAGGAGGATTCTGGGGAATGTAGTAAAGAAGTGGTGATCCATGCAGGAAGTGACATAGCAGGGAGACTCATAAACAAGGGCAAGAAGGAAGTGAGTGCCTTCTCTCTTCCTCCTGGTCTCTGCTCTGGAGTCGCCATGTGATCCACCGGCAAGAGAGGGTGCCAGTGGAAGGCATTCTCTGTAAGATTAGTCTTATAAAATATATAGATTTATGATAATTAAGACTGAGCTAACAGAAGAGAAATCCTAGTCTTTGGCCAAGCAGCATTTGTACCTAATAGAAGTGTATTAGTAGTGGCCCTAACTCAGCAGACAGAACTCAGGCGACTGGCAGAAAGCATCCATGTGGCAGTAGGGCTGGGGTGGCTTTGGGCGGAAAGATTTATCATAACAGTGGTGTTGCATTCTGTTTGCTAATATTAATTTTTTACATTATTTAAAATTTATGTGGCCTTGAAATGTCTGTTTTGATGTTATATTATTAGGTATAAATACCATTGATGTGTTTGCATAAGCAGGAAGAACTGGGCATTTTCATCGTGCCTATAAAAGTCTGGTAGACATCTTGGAAACTCTTTAGGACTATCAGTTCTCTATAAAAATATTTCTTAATACTTTTCCCCAGACTTTCTGGAAATAAACCTTGCTAAGGTCACACAGTTTCCAGTAAATTATGTTTCATCACCATTTCCTATTGTATAGACAGAAGCAAATGTAAAAAATGATTTTTACATTTCTCTTAGATATTCTTTAAGCTGCCACTTTCTATCCTTTTCTCTTCCTTATTTCTTGTCTTCCTTCCCCTCCTCTTTCGCCTTCTTCCCACCTTCTTCCTGGTTTGTGGATTCCATCATCTGCATGTTAAAATGTTTTGCTTAATCCATGTCTTCTCTGTGCTTTTCCCTGTTCGTTAACCCTTTTGTTCTTGCCAGATGGTGGTGGCTGGCACCTTTAATCCCAGCACTCAGGAGGCAGAGGCAGGCAGATCTCTGAGTCCAGCCTGGTCTACAGACCAAGTTCATGCACAGCCAGGGCTACACAGAGAAACCCTGTCTTGAAAATCAAAAAAGAGTCTGACAGCTGGGGAACCAACATAGGACTGAACCAGGTCCCCTGAATGGGGGTGTCAGCTAGGAGGCCTGGGCCGTGGAACCAGGATGTATCCCTAGTGTTTAAACAGACATCAGGAGCCCACTCTTCATGGAGGGATACTCTCTTAGCCTAGATACATGGGGGACGGCCTAGGCCCTGCCCCAAATGACTTGACAGACTTTGATGATCCCTCATGGAAGTCCCCACTCCCCCTGGGAAGTAGATGGGGAATGGAATGGGGGAGTTTTGGGGGCATGGAAGGATGGGAGGGAGTGGGAACTGGGATTGATATGTAAAATAAGATTGCTTCTAATTTAAATAAAATTTATTTTTAAAAAGAAAATCAAAAAAGAAATAATAATAATTTTGTTCAACTATATCCAATTCATTATTAAACCAATCTTCTTTGGTTTCTAATTTTCTTTTCTAACTGTTAAAATATATAATATCCACTTAGGAATTTCTTTAGACATACTAAGTTTTTGTTTATTTCATTGAATATATTAACCTAATTACTTTAAATCAAAATATTTGACCCTATCACCTCAGTTCTGTAGAACTTTTGGGGGCTTTTCTGTTGTGCCTCTTGATTGTAAATCATGTAATTTTTTGTCTGCATACACATGTTTCCTTATGCCTGTGTGTCTGACACTGTGTATAAAAATTTGTCTAACGATCTAATTTTTCCATCAGCATTTTGCCATTCTCTGCCAGCTGGCCACCACAGTGAATGTCTACAGATGCTTCTATATCCATCAGGGACTCGAATTTCTCAAATGTGAGTGCCAGTCCCAGAGAAAATTGGCCGATTTCCATTATACCCACAGTCCTACAGCCCAGAACTTCAAGACTTACCCAGAGATTATTGGGGTCATCAGGGGTGGGAGTGGGAGTTTGTTGTAGACAGACTCTGGCCCACACATACCTGCAGTCATTGCTGTAGACAGACCCCAAAGGGGAAGGTCATCCCAAATTCTGGCTTAGATTTCTGGCCTCCTTTCTCACTTGAGTGTTGGCTTTCTATTCTCTGTTTTGTTAGCTTCTACTGACTTCAGTAAAATGTTCCTTTTTTAAGCCCAAGAGTGCTCAATTGAACTACTTCACCTGCCATTTGGGTTTCATTTGTATTTTGAATTCAACACATACCAAAGAATGTCATGGAGCAATATAAGGTTTAAAATCAGCCTGCTGAATCTTGAGTCATTCCATGCTCAGGGCCGATTATTTGATTTCCAAACCTCAGCTTGCAGGTGGCACCTACTCTTGTTGGGGACCCTACAGAGCAAACATGTGGCTAGCCAACTAAGTCTAGGAGGCCAAAATGATCAAGAGGAAGGATTCTGCTTGCAAAAGTAATAATGGCATTACAAACCAAAAATGAGGAATGGTGCAAGGCTTAAGACATGGGCAGATATCCTGAGGACTCAACTGAATGGAACCCTGAGCTTTGGAATTGCCAGGAAATAATGCAAAAATCTCAAATGAGCACAAGCTATAAGAGTGCAATGTTGAAAGTGTGGGGTTTGCACTCACAGAAGTTGAGAGGTCTATGTGAGAACAACACAAGGTGAGAATAGCGTTGGAGCTGGTGAAGACCAAGCTCCATGCTCTTAGAGCAGGATGGAACTAATACTTTTCACTTGCTGTAATTTCATCCAGGCCTACTGTGAGCCATAATCCTGGAAAAAGATGTGGTATTAGGAAGCAAGACTTTGCCGGCTATGGCCTGTCTCACCACACACACCAAACCCATTCTGTCCATCATCCTGTCCTGTTTTCAAAGAATTCTTTATTAGTTGGCTGTATCATGAGTTCAAGAAAAGCACCCATATACCTTACTGCAGCTCAGTTTCATGGGGTTCCTAGAACAAAGCCCTCCTTCTACCTCAATGTGTTTTCTGCTTCAAATGAAGGGGACCTACAAGTTCTCTGGAACCTGTCACTCAGGGCTGGCAGAGACACAGGTATCAGGCAGAAAAGTGCTTGTCACTCACTCACACACTAAGTTGTCCCACAGTGCTTAGAGCAGAAGTCTTGGCAGTTTCTAGTCACAACTGAACTGTCTCCTGTGAGCACCCAGGTAAACCAACCCTAACCTACCTAAGTTTACAAAAACAAATGAACACCATAGCGATTCTTCCCTGAAAATATTCTACTCCAGGCTTAGAAAAAAAATACTTAATTTAAAGGAACCAAAGAGCACCACAAGTTTCTATTAAGTTGTTTTTAAGGGTGATACTTTGAGAATAGATTGTCATGTGATTGTCCTTTATGCAGAAATGACCTTGGAAAATCCCTAAAAGTCCCTGAAAGATATGCCCTGCATTTAAACTTAAAATCCAAAGGAACAAACAACTGTAGTGTTTATACACATGGGGTAACCCCACTAGACAATTAAACTGCTGATCACTAGCAGAGCTGTTTTTTTTTATTTGTTTATTGTGTTTTTTCAAGTTGTCCATCAAAATTTGAGTGAAGCATTGTGAAACAACTTTGGATTTCCATATACATGAAAAAGAAAGTCCCCCTTTGAGCCCCTCTATCCATCCTCACCAACATCAACCCTCTATGTGGAGTGAAAGCATGGACCTCCCTAATTCCCACCCACATTCCAGGGGACACCAGCATCTATTCATGAGCCACCATCTATCTCTCAATGTCCTTGTCCATAATCTTCATTTTGACACTATTAGCACCATCACCCATTTACATTTGAAAAAGTCCCAAGATCATTCCTGTACTTCTGGATGAATATGGGATGCAGCAGAAGTTGAGCACTGTCCAGAATGAGCGTATTAGACCTCAGTGGAACTAGAAAGGACCACCAGACAGACCACAGTCACCATCAGATGACTCTGGTGTGGGAGGCAAGACGGCAGCCAGCAGGATGTTGGTGGATCACTTTGTATGAAGAGTCATGTTACTTAAATTGTGTCTGCTTATTTATATTTTATTTTATTAATATGCAATTGAGAAATAAAAATAACACATATTGAAAGCAACATGGTGATAACACCATTGCAAGGTTTTGGCAAATTAAGTAAAATAATGGTAGCAGAATTCTTGCTGTTGTGTGAGCCAACTTCTATACAAATAATACCTGTTTCTATGAGTGAAATTGTATTTGGGTCAAGAATTATAGGAGTTTCCCCTTATTCACCAGGAATGTATTCCAAGTCATTCCATAGATTGTACTGAACTCCATTTTCTTATTCATACACATCAACCATGGAATTTAATTTATAAATCGGGCATAGAAAGGCATTAACAACTACTAACAAAGCAATTATAACAGAACACCATAATAAAAGTTACTTCGAACTCATGAGTTTCTTATTTGAGGGAACTTTAATTTAATATCTTTAAACAATCATTGTTAGGTATAACTGAAACCACAGAGAAGGAAAGTTCAGGGAAGGGGACGAGGTTGCCCCTACAGAGGAAATGCTTAAGCTGAAGGGCTACCCTGAGTTTAGAGAATGGAAGGAGAGTCCTGGGTAGGAGGCAACTGCAGTAGGGTATGAAAGCAAGGATTTGTCAAAGCATTAGGCTGGGTATGGTTGTGCATGTCTTTACTCCAAGGATTAGGAGGCAGAAGCAAGTGGATCTATGAGTTCAAGGCCAGCCTAGTCTACTTAGAAAGTTCCAGGCTATCCAGGGCTACATAGTGAGAAAAAAAAATATTTGGGGTTTTTTTCTTTTTTATTTAAATTAGAGACAAGCTTGTTTTACATGTCAATTCCAGCTTCCTCTCCCTCCCCTCCTCCTCTGCCCCCCACTAATCCCCTATCCCATCCCCTTTCTGCACCCCAGGGAGGGTAAAGTCTTCCATGGGGGATCTTCAAAATCTGTCATATCATTTGGAGCAGGGTCTAGACCCTCCTCCGTATGTCTAGTCTGAGAGAATATCCCTCTCTGGGGAATGGGCTCCCAAAGTCCATTCGTATGCTAGGGGATAAATACTGATCCACTACCCAGAGGCCCCATAGATTTCCCAGGTCTCCTAACTGACACCCATGTTCAGAGGGTCTGGTTCAGTCCTATGCTGGTTTCCCAGCTATCAGTCTGGGGTCCATGAGCTCCCACTTGTTCAGGTCAGCTGTTTCTGTGGATGAGAAAAGAAAATCTTTTGTCAATGGGAGATAACTGCCATAAGAGCCACTACTAAGGGCCCACTGAGTAGGAATGGTTGCTCTCCTCCCTTCCCCCTAATGAGCCCGGGCATGTGGGAGGGTGGTAGTGAATGGCTGGACTCACTAGGAAGTGAATAGAACTTACTGAGAGGCGCCAGAGCTGTTGCTTGGCCCAGCTATGCTATTTAGAAATAGCTACCTGCATGGTATGATGTACCGTGAGGCCACCTCAGTTTTGACAAGCTTAGTTAGTCTCCCCCTTAATGGTTTAAGGCCTTGCTCACACCTAGCCCTATAGAAGGCTGAGCCTCCTGCAGAGGCCTCCACAAGAGCCCACAGTCAATCAAGCTAGGGGCACAGTGAGACCCACAGCCTCTCTCAACACTCAGCATGGTCTCTGCCTCCAGGCCCCACTGCTCTGCTGGGCCATGCAGGCTGCTGAGCACATCTGGACACTGGCCAGAGTGGGAGCAAACACAGAACCTTCTAACAACTTTGTTTTTGTTCCACCTGCATTCAAGCTCTGAGTCTTTCTTTTGTCTTCGTTATAACTCGACAGCACATGTTTATTCAGCTTATTGGTTTTGTGTCTGATTCAGTATGTTTCTCCCTTCCCAGAAGTAGCTTGCTAGAAAGGGCTGTCTTCCCAGGTGCACAGGCAGTGTAGCTAGGTGTGCCCTCCAGGATTCCTCAAGTGCCTGCTGTGGAGGACTCAGGGCCCCCTAGGATCCTGGACACAGAAGTTTCAAGGTTCTGCTCAGTGAGAAGGCTGCAGCATCTTAGCATGGTCTGTCCCCACCTGAGGATGAGAAGTGGCAGGTCTTGAGGGTCAGAAAGGGCTCACTACAAGGCAGTGGCTAGCCAGCCCTGTAGAGAACTCTCTGAACGTGTAGCCATCCAGCCATTTCCTCGCTGCATTATGACATGGTAGAGAAGTCACCTCTTCTAGATATCTTAGAAGGGCATGATGTTCCTCAAGGATAGAGCTATCACTGACAATGAGCCAGGCCAGACAAATGGAGGTCCCAGGTTCTCAGCCTCCCAAAACAGCCCTTTTCTTATCACCTGTTACCCTGCCTTGCTCACCCAAGCAGGAGGGACCCCAACCATCAGGACAAATTTGCACCTCTGATTCACCTGTCCTTGGATGTTATTCTGAAAAACAATTTTTTAGATCTCTCTGTATGTGTCTCTGTGTCTCTCTCTCTCTGTGTGTGTGTGTGTGTGTGTGTGTGTGTGTGTGTGTGTGTGTGTGTGTGTGTATACTCTAGCAGCTATAACAAAATTCTATAGACTGGGTGCTAAAAATGGAGACCTTTTTCTTATCATTCTAATCTGGAAACCCAGTCAAGGCAGTGGCTAGCCAGCCCTGTAGAGAACTCTCTGAACGTGTAGCCATCCAGCCATTTCCTCGCTGCATTATGACATGGTAGAGAAGTCACCTCTTCTAGATATCTTAGAAGGGCATGAACATGAGGGCTTCACCTCCCAATATCATCATCAAGTGGACAAACCTGTGTGTTTAGGGGACTGTGAGCTCCCCAAAGGGAAAGAAAACCAGAGTCTCAGCTCTCACTGGTCTGCTCATGACTGTTTTTTTTTTTCTTGACTTAGTACTCAATTTCTTGCCTTTCCAGTTGTTTGACAGGCCATATTACTCCAAGAAGTCAGGAAGCCCTGGTTATCATGACCCACAAGCCTCTGTAGATGAAGCCAGGTGCACAGGGCATCAGTGAGGCCAGCACAAGTTTAACCAGACCCCATTCCCTTGGCAGTAAGGCAGGCCAGGGCTGCTGTGCATGTCATGTGAACTCTTCGGGACACATAACATGCTTGCTTCATGTTCATGCTGCACAGAAATCAGGGGTCCATCAGATTAGTCAAATCTGATCATCTAAGGAACAGTTCAGAACCTGTTTAACGCACCATCTCCAAATTTGC